AATATATTAATTAATTATATATAATTAATATATAATAATATTATATATTACATATATTATATAATATTTTATATATATATAATATATAAAATATTATATATATTTTATATATAATAAAATATAATATTTATATTTTAAAAACAATTGTTCTTTAGGGTTTTATTTTTCTGTCAATCTAAAGTTATAAGATAATTTACATGTAGTGGTCTTCTTTCCTATGTATGCATGATTATTTCAGCAGTGTTTTTATTTAAACCGGAGTAGACTTATTTCGATTTGAAATTTTTTTCCTAAGAAAATCTTATTTCTGAACTGCTGAACAGTTTAGAAATGGTGGATGCTATGGAATGAATGTGTGTGTGTCCCCCCACATTCATATGTTGAAACCTAATCCCCAGTGTGATAATATGTGGAGGTGGGTCTGTGGGAGGTGATTACATCTTGAGAGATGAACTAATTTCCTGAATGGGGTTAGTGCCCTTATGAAAGAAAACCTCCTCGCCCCTTCCACCATGTGAAGACACAGCAAGAGGATGGCCATCTTGAATCAGGAAGCGAGCCCTCACCAGACACCAAATCTGCTGGCACCTTGTTCTTGAACTTCCCAGCCTCCCAAACTGTGAGAAATAATGTTTGTTGTTTGAACCACACAGCCTCTTGTATTTTGTTATAGCAGCCCAAACTTATTAAGACAGTGGGGCAATTTTCCAATAGCCAAGAATTAGAATATTGTCACATTAGAATATTTGATCCCATTTATGACAGTATAGCAAATAAAGGCAAATGGAGGAAGATTCTGAATGTTAGTGATGAGTAATTTTGGGGGGGTTTTATTGGCATCTTAATAAAAGAATAAAAGGAAAGTGCTAGTAGTAATATTGATCGTTAACAAACATACCATGTTTTCTTCCTGTATTTAAATTATCAACCCAAATTAAAAGTTTATGCTATCATTATAATTATGAAGTGAACCTATTGCAAAAAAATTTTAAGTTAAAATGTAGAATTAACAGAATACTGGATCAAGAATAATGCCTAAAACCCTATAGAGTAGGAATTATTTCCATGTTACAGATGAGGAACTGACTCAAGATATTTGAATAATTTGTAAGCTCACACAGCATGGTGGAGCGAAGATTCAAATATGAATCTCCAAGATTTGACTCACCAAACTTCATTTCCATGAATCTCTATACTTCCTCTTTTAGGATACCAAAATTCTAATTATTCTGCTTCCAAATTTCAAAGTGACCTCAGGCTTGGCACTCAACATCTCCAGGACACACACACACACACACACACACACACACACACACACACGCTGTCTCTCTCTCTCTCTCACTTTTAGAATAACAACAAACACACTAGTGCTTACTCCACCAGATGGTTAGGGTGTTACGTGATTGAGTGTCTCCTGTTGGAACACAGCAGCACAGCCTCCCTTGAAAAAGGGAGCTGCTCCACCAGTCCAGGCAGGAGTGGCAAGAGCGAGCACACATGGATTCAGCTCTGCTGGAGAAGGAGAGAGGTGATGCTTCAAATGAGACAGCAGTGTTGAAGTTCAAGAGGAGGAGGGACAGCAGATTAAAGGAGAAAAAACTCAAAGTTACTAGACCAGCAGGTTTTCTAACTCCTAAATCCCCAAAAGAAATGGCAATATGGAAAGTGACGAGTAACTTATAAACTAGGACATGTAGAAAAAGACTGAAGGGTCAAATCCAGTAAATATATAATAGGCAACTATTCAAGTGCCAGGCACTGTGCTAGTCATCAATAGGCAATTATGAACAAGACTGGCAACTGCCATTCCTGCTTTCAAAGAGGAATTTACAGAAAATATTATGTGAGCAATTAAACTGACATCCAGAGGAAAGAATGGCCTAAAAAGAAACTTCTCATATAAAAAGCACAGACTAAAAGCTAAAAAATTGGCCATAAGGACTTGCATTAGTTTTCTATTGTTGCATAACAAATTGTCATCAAAATCAGTACTTCAAACAACATTTATTATCTCATAGTTTCTGAGTGTCAGGGATCTGAATGTGGGGCTTAGCTGGATGCCTCTGGCTCAAGGCCTCTCATGAGGTTGGTGTTAGGGTGTCAGGGGCTGCAGTCTCATCTAAAGGCTCAACTGGGGGAGCGCTGGCTTCCAAGCTTACTTATGTAGTTGTCAGCCGGATTTATTTCCTCAAGGCTGTTGGGCTGAGAGCCTCAGTTCAATGCTGGCTGTTGGTCAGAGGTCCCCACTCAGTTCCTTCCAACATGAACCTCTCCAAAGAAGAGCCTACAACGTGGCAGCTAGCTTCACTCAAAACAAGCGAGTGAGAATGAGAGCATGCAAGAGAAGGTGCCCAAGCTAGAAGCCACAGTCTTTTTGTAACCTAATCTCAGAAGTGGCATCCCACTGCTTTTGCTGCATTCTATTCATTAGAGATGAAACAACAAGTCCAGCCCACACTCAACACAAAGGGATCGCACAAGGCTGTGAGCAGCAGGAGGGCTGGGATAACTGGGAGCCATTTTAGAGGCTGCCAATCTCAGGGCCTCTGGAGATAATTTTGGCAAGAAAAGCTAGGCTAAAAGTGGAGAGCAAATATCTTTTTCACACAAAAGGAGCTACATTTGGAGTTCTTCCTGCTTGTTGTAAAAGGAAGCCACTTAGAGATAAAGTTTTATTTTTTTAAATGTGGACTTTTGAAAGATACAAGACACTGAGTTGGTATTTAAATGATCATGGATCATTATTGGGGAATAGAAAGAGATCAGCACAGAAGTAGTTACCTAAGGACGTGCCTGAGGGCAGACTTTCCATTAGAAGTTAAATCATTACAACTGAACTGTAAGAGTAAATAATTAAGGCTGCTTCTCTGGTTAAGAATGCTAAAGTCCAGAATATTCTTATAAAAATAGGAAATGAGCTAATAAAAGTGATAGGAGTTATGAGCCAGAAAGAATCAAGGTTGTTAACAGGTAAAGTGAAAAGCGCTACTTTTTTGTGACCATGCATTCCAGACACTTGAAATGTCTCAGGTTCTGGAGAAAAAAAAAAGCTTCATTTAAGTGGAGAACAAATTCCCATTAAAAAGAAGATAAATCAATTGTCTAATAAGGAAGCTAATTAAGGGGAGGAAAGCCCTGCTCTCATTCAAGAGGCCAGAGAATAGATAGAACTTTGTTTTTAATTGTATAAAGAAAGTTCTCAAGGATAGGAGGAAAGCCATAGCCTCTAAAGGGCAAAATGGACATTCCTGCATGGAGCAGGGATTAGTGGAGAGCTGCCACAGAGACAAGGGTCAAGAAGGTGAGGCGACAAAAGGTGCAGGTCAATAAGAAGAAAGAAAATGGGAAGTAAAACTGTATGGGAAACGTAAATGTGAAAAGGGGGCTCCTGAAATTCTATATAGGGCGAAGACACAGACATGAAAATTGGAACATTAAAAAAAAAAAGTAGCAAGTCAGAAAAGAAACATAATATGTTAGAGAATAGGACATTATCATTTAAAGTCAGGTTAAAATAGATCACATGCTTCTTGCTGCCAGTTTTCCTTCCTACTAGCTCTGTATGAGTCCTATCAAGACAGTGTGGCCCCGATGTTAGGGGCCTTGTGATCCAGAGGAGGAACGTGGTAAATCTGAAAAACCAGTTCATGTACAGCTATCAAAGGAAAGCCAGTACAGAGAGTTCAATATTTTTGTTGTCTTAAAATTATAGATAAGGAAAACATAAGGGGCAGAAGTTTTAAATTCTACTACTTCCTGCAGCTATTTGATGAAAATGGAAGATTCAAAAATAGGAGGGATTGCTCTTGGTTAAACATGGAGAATTGAATGCATATGTTTATCTCTGCTTCCATGCCAAACACCACTAAAATGACAGTAAGTTAATAAAAAGTGAATAAATCCATAAGGAGAAAAGAACAAGAAAGGAGGTGACACTAGATGAAAAAGACGTTGACTAAATTTTGGAAAATGGAAAGTAAGGTATGGATGAGAGGTAATCAGCAGGCTACGGCTATTGAAACCTAATACCTGTGGAGAGTGTGGGAGTATGCGGAATCCTAAAAGGAGCAAACCCAATCACGTGACATGACACTGGAAAGGCTCAGGAATTGAGGACACCAGATACCTCTGAAAGAGGGAGAGAAGAGTGGATCTGAAAACAGGGCTGTTTGAATTATTGTAAAAGGAGCAAATAGATGCTTAGATGCCCTCTCTAACCCCCAAACGGCCCCCACCTACGATCCTGGCAGTATACCAAAGGT